TTCCCGTGAGGCATTTTCAGCCTGCACCAGGCGCTATATGAATGCAGGTGGCTGCCGGCCCTGCTTTTGCTGCTGATTCCGTTTTGAAACGGATTCGCTGTTTTACATACGAGGCAGCTTTAACCAAAATAAGATGGGAAATGGAACAGGCCCTGTCACCAGGTTAGAGTCCTCGCTGATGTTTCATGAAACGAAGGGGGGAGTTGGAGCAGGGGCTTGGGAGAAGGTTTGGAAGGGGTCAGCAATATACACACAATGTCACCAGATATGAAACGGTATGTCAGAGTCGCGCCGCTGTTCCCACACAACACACACAGCACCCGTTTATTGTTGTGCTTTTTTTTTGTTGGGTGCACCCTTGACTCCAGGATGTCTCAGTGTTTTATCAGAGGTTCACCATCAGTTTGTAATCTGGGAGAGGATGGGGGTGGCTCAGTGGTTAGCACTGCTGCCTCACAGCTTTCCAAGGACCTGGGTTCAATTCCAGCCTCAGGTGACTGTCTGAGAAAAGTTTGCACATTCTCCCTGTGTCTGTGTGGGTTTCCTCTCGCACTCCAACAGATGTGTAGGTTAGGTGGAACAAAAACAAAGTTGCTGGAAAAGCTCAGCAGGTCTGGCAGCATCTGGGGAGGAGAAAACAGAGTTAACATTTCAGATCCAGTGACCCTTCCTGAGAAGGTGGGTTAGCCATGCAAAAATATAGGGAATGAGGGTCTGGGTGGGATGTTCCTCAGAGAGAGGCTCAGTGGGTCTCTTTCAGCACTGTAAGGATCTTATGATTCTAACATAACAAACTCAGATGACTATCACTCACCTCAGTTTGATGATCAGCCACAAGAGGGCAGTGATGCCACAGGGGAAGGGGCCATTCCAGCTTCTTGGAGAATAGTGAGGACTGCAGATCAGTTGGGATAGTTGCCACATTGCAGAACCTGTGTCCCATGAACTGTGTTTGTGCATACAGTTTTGCACTTGAGTTGTTGTTGTGTCTGTGTTGTGTGTTTTCTGTGTGCATTCATATATGATTTTAGGTGTGGTTTTTGTCTCTTTTCTGTGCGTTCTTTTGTATGTTATGTTCTTGCTACTGTGTAAACCAATTGTGCCCATATGCATTTGATGTGTCTTTCTATATATTTTTGTCCCTTATTTATGTGTTTTTCTATGCATTTCTGTGTTTCATTGTGTGTGCATACATTTATGTGTGTGTTGTTTAAGTGCGTTTTTGTCTGTGCTGTGTGTTTTTATGCTCGTGGTGTTTGTGTGTGCATTTTGGGTCGTGTTTTTCCTGTTTTTATAGTTTGTGTGTATGTTCTGGAGTGATACGTTTCATTTGTGTTTGCGTTTTTGTGCATGTTTTTGTGTGTGTATGTTTCTGGTGGTTTGTTGTGAACATGTGTTTTTCGGTATGTTTTGTCTCTTTTTGTCTGTGTCATTTCTGGTTCTGGGTGTGTTTTATCTGTGTTTCTGTGTTGCTTCGAATTTCTATTTGTGTTTCTGGGTATGTTCTGCCTGTGTTTCTGTTTCTGGTTAATTTGGGCTTCTGTTCCTGTGTGTGTTTTGTCTTATGATTTTGCAAATTGTCGACATCTCCAGTCAGTGACACTGTAACAATGCTGTCACAAAAATTGAGATTTGCCAACGTTTGAAAAGCAAGTGAATTTTTCTTTTCTCTGGTGACAAGTGACATATAACAAGTGTCACAGAAATAGAGAATGGCAGGTGCCAGAAACAAAGATGGCACTGTCCATATAATCACAAAGCGAACAGTATCACACTAAAACCCATCCGTCCATTAATCAGAACATCGCTGCAGCGTGGCAGATGGGCAAACGAGAAAATAACTAAAGGTATCCTCTTAGTGCAGAACAGTTAGGTTTTGAATACAGATACAGTACAAATAGGATCGTTTCAGTCAAGCCTCCTGTCTTTGGGAAGTGCCCAGTCCTCCCTGGTCAGTTTGGCAGCTGGAGAAGGCAGTAAGGCAGTGGTGGGTCGAGTGTGCAGACACCAAGATGGGAGGAAACCCCGCACTGTTATCCCCCAGGGTCCCTGTCGGCCTGCCCCTAACCCCCAGAACCACGCTCCCTGTGGCCTCTTGCAGCTGGCTGATCTCTCAGGCCCAGCGTGCAGGGACCATTTTGGTGTTCGGGATAATCACATCACTTCGTGCACCTGTGTGTCCGTTTGTGTAGCATTTGCATGCAGGAGGGCTCTTGTGGTGCAGTGGTAGTGTCCCTATCTCTGAGCCAAGAGGCCAGGGTTCAACTCCTCTTTGTTCTAGAGGAGTGTGTCATAACACATCTGACCAGGTTGATCATGATAACTACATACATTCAATGTGATTTTTATTTTGCATGTGTTTTTTGTGTCTGTGCTTTTTGTGTGTGTTTAGCATATCTTTGTGCATTTTATAACTTTTTGTGCCTTTTGTATGTGTGCGCATTCACGTGTGTGTTGTTTTGTGTGCACATGTGTTTTGTGCAAGTGTGATGTGCACATGTTTCAGAGATAGTAGGAACTGCCGATGCTGGAGAATCTGAGATAACAAGGTGT